ACACACACACACACACACACACGTGCGCGCGCTGATCTCTCGGTCTCCAAGTGTGGTTTTTTATTTACTTTTTTTTTTTTAAATGTATATATCTTTCCGCTCGTTCCGCTGCATCTTCAACTCATACGACTACGACGACGTATATAACTACGAATGTCGTCGCCGTCGTCGTCCGGTCCGGTCAGAAGAACCATCGTTGTGCAGCGAATATACAATAATATATACAGGACAATTGGTGCGCGCACGCGTATTGACGATCTATCAAAGCTCCTCTGSGGCTGCAGTGTGCGCCGGAGACTGTCTTGTTGATAAATTTATTGTGAACGCTTTTCAATGGAGCCGGTGGCGGCTTGCTGTCAGCCGATTATCTATTGCGCAGCAGCCTCCTTCATTGGTGGTGACTATTTTCGCGACATCATCACTTATTCTCATATTATTGTYGTATGCGAGCTACATTATAGTATTATTATACCCCTTCTTCTGCGTGCGTGTCGTATAAATACCTAACTACTATAATATATAATGTCCTCCGCCTATGCGTCTTCTCTCATTTCCCACCGACAGTATACATACACTGCAGACTCGTCTTCTCATCGTCGCGCATTTTGCCGTTCTCTCTGTATTGTAGACCCTCACCTCTCGTGCATAATAATATTATATAGTCACCCATTCGCAATGCATTTGAATTTATATCGACTGTGTTATACAACGTACTTGCTACATTTTATAATCCGCTCAATGTATATAAATATTTGTATAGCCGTATAGGTACATTGTATCATTATTATTATATACAGTGTATGCGACGGCATACAATGTTATGTGTGTGTGTGTGTGTGTGTGTAACATTGCAAAACGTCTACCGCGAGTGTCATTCATCGCGTCGGAGACTTGAACGACCCGAAATTCAGTGACGGATATCAGACACGTTTTCGTTTAAGTGATGGGAAACCTTATGGCATCAGTTTACGTACCTATATAGAAATTCAGTGGATTTTATGTAAAGCAACCGGGAAAAGACTTCAAAAGCCCTTCCGCCATTCTTATGAAAATGTTGTGATTATTATAAAATTTTAAATTATACCAAAAACGTTACTACATAATTTGATATGATGAACCCATATTATATCATCAAGCCAATCGCAAGCACGTTGTAAAAAAATTGCAGTACCTACCACCTGGTGGAATAATATGTATTGGCCGAATCAGTGCACGAATGCAATTTGACAGAGATATTTACACAATAATATGGGATAGAACTCTTTACAAAAAACAAATCGATTCCTAAAATCCCGGCAGTGTGTGTATACAAAGAGAYGCGCGCGCAAACATTATATACTCAGCACGAGCACAAACGCATAAATAATAATGTGATATAGGTACATATTAACTAACAGGAGGTAGGTACGTGTGGTATGTATGCTGATGTAGGTACTATGACCGCGGCCGAGGTATGTGATATATATATAGTTTGAGTGTGCCGTGTCGTATAATATATATTAGGCAGATACAATAGGAAGTAATATAGTGAAATAATTACTACAAACGGTGAGCGGACGGTGGCGGGGAAACCGCACGCTGTGATGTGCCGCCGCGGCGATATGTCCGAACTGGGTGTGGTGGGGTAGGYGGGGTGGCGGGAGGCTGTCCAGGGTCTATTATAATATACGGACGTGCGGTGTGTGCGTGTGTAAAGCTCGCGAGGCGGTAAACACACGCGAGTGTGGGTGGCCCGCGACGACGACTACCGCGACAACGACGATGACGACGACGACGAATACGAAGACGGCGACCGACCGTGCGGGGCGTTTTAGTCATGGCGAGCGCGCGCGGTGAGCGTAGCGAAACCCGCCGGGCGCGAGACGGCGGCCCGCGGGTCATGATGCTGCCCGCTGTATAATAATAACAATATACGGTACACGATAATATTATTATGATAGATGCCGCTCACGTTGTACGACCCGTCGCGAGGTAAATATTATATTATAATATACGTCGACGTCGGTCTATCTCTCTCTCTCTCTGGTTCCGACACACACGCACACAAATCTATTTAGATACATTTCTCTGGTGAGCCCACCGCCGCCGTTGTCTCGCACGCCGCCGCCGCGCCGCCTGCAGACCACACGGTGTTAGGAGAGAATAAATTAAAAACAATATACGTAATAATAATAATAATAATACCGATAATATAATATATGTATATAATATATGCACACGAGTATTCCACCGCTGTGTGTGCGCGCCATGTGCCCCCTCCGAGTTCGGTGATTTTTTTTCTTTTCCTTCTCCTCGCGTGCACGAGCGATCGTTATTAATTGTCATACTATTACAAGTCATACATATGCTCGTAGGGTATATCTGCTCAGCCGTTTTATTGTTTTCCCTTACTTTTGTATATACGAGTGTAGTGCGCCTAACCATATAATGTACCTATATTATAATTACGTACAGATTTTCCTATATGTATATTGTAGACTGCATTCGTCAAAAACTTGCATCATACATATTATAGGACATGATGATACGGTCATACGAAGATCGTGTGGGAAGGGGGGGGGGTTGGACAGTGGAGGAAGGCTTTGGACGATGAAGCTCCTTGGATAAGCTTATTAAGTATGTAGATATAAATATAAAAAAATATTCTTTGAGAGCTGGAAATCCATTTTAAATATCGATAAAAAGCGTTAATAATATTCTWAGAACTCTAAAGWAATGTCAAAATCAAAATTTGTGTTTGTGATATTATACGAAATGTACCTTTATTGAAATCGATAAAAATAAAAATTAATAATTCATGTCAAAATATAAATCATTTAAAAAATACAATATATATATATTMCAGGAATCAACGATAGTCAAATGCCAATTACACGGATCAATAATATTATTCGTCGTTATAGGTAATAAATAACAATATAAGTAGGACAAGGACTGGTGTGCCAGACTATATTATCAAATGTATGCACTTGAGAACCAAAAATTAAAAATATGTACTAAAAAAAACACTACATATTTTCATAGAACCACATTTTATCATTATTTATACTATTTATACTATATATTATACGGCGGTACATATATCTAGCGCCTAATCCCTTCCCACTAATATTWATTCCGAAATACTTCGCTGGACGGATGTGTTATATTATTTGTACATAAYACATAAATGACCAAAAGTTTATATGTATATAGGGACAATACAATATTTGTTTCACACAGTTGCATATTTTATGGGGGGGGAGTCGGAACCTCTCCAAGACCCACCAGAACCTCTCTCTCTCAAAAAAAACTAAAATTCTTACATATTTGCAGAACCCGATTTATGTAAAGACTAAAACGGATCGGCCATGTTAAACATTCATGGGAAAGTTGAAATTACTGTTGATGAAGTGATATAGTAGGTAGTCGSCAAAAAAATCGAGACAATTCGAATTTATTATAACAATACTTCATATATTTTAATATTTAGTTCCACTTCTTCCAAAAACTGCGTAAGGACGTAACTATTACAAGACATCATGGTTCATATTTATAATTATGTATGAACTGAGGGCCCCCCCCCCGCATCCCTCAGAAAAATTTGAAAATAGCCACTGGTTTCACATCAAGCCGGCCGTTATATAGTATTATATATTATATTTGTTTGGGACACAATATCAAAAAGCTGTATAAAACGCAAGTATAATCATATCATTATGTATTATAATAATATATGTTACATACACACGCTGCGGCGGCCGCCGATTTGTCGTCTTTCCGATGTTTACGTTATATTTAAATTGATACGACGGCATCGGCGGAGGATAACCGGTGGCCCGGGCCAACCAGACGATGTGAAAATGGTCAACAGCAGCAGACGTATATAAAAATGAATAATATTACTACAAACGCGTATATACAATGTTATGTGTTTGTGTGCGTGTGCGTGTGCGTGTGTGTGTGTGTGTGTGTGTGCGCGCGTGTGTGTGAACATAATATAAAAAATAACAAATATGAAGAGTAAACCGCATACCAAACGACTAATCAAACTACTATATACCGCGTGTGTGTGCAACAACGGCGGTGGCAGCGGCGACGGCGGCAGTATACCAAAGCCGTTCATGCGACAAAAATCTGTTGAAACATATTTGAAAAAAATTTCCCGCCAGGATTCGGTTTTTGTCATTTTTTATGTATGTTTTTTTTTCGTCCCCGACTAGTGACTACTATACAACTACTAGTTGAGCTGGTACTGGTGCTGCTGCTTCTGCTACTATACTTATCCTCTCTTGGCGCATACACTTATATAATTTAACGATTATCAGTGGTGTGTCACATAAACGTTTTGGGTCCGGAGCGAAATTTCCTACGACTCCCTTTACGTACTTCAAACTGAACCAAATCCGAGTAAATGGTTTTTTTTTATAGATTTCATGGCTGACGCACAATCTGATTATATTTCCAATAAATCGACTCACAATATAGTTGTAATTTCCCATTTCAAACTTTTTGCTTGAAAACGAGATAATGCCTATAAATTCCCTTTTCGGCCGCAAGCAATCAACATGTTATTCAAATAAGAGTACAAAAATCAACTGAATTTTTAACTACTAACAAAATAATTATAATAAGAGGTCGTAGACGAATATATAGAGAAATGGGCAACACGCACTTGCAGTGAAAAAAAACCACAAACATATTTTATCAAAAAACAAAGCTAAAATTCACCCACATCCAAATGTTTGAGACACAGCCAAWGCCTATACCTGACCTCGTGATATCTCGTGCAACATATATTAYAATAATATATAGCTATTAAACTATATTAGCTATATATCACATACAATATAGTTCTTATACTATACATGATAATATGATATACCTATAACATGATGGTATTTTTATTTTTATTTATTAAACAAAGTCCGCGGCAGCTATGGCCCCATTGGTCTGACATTATCTACATTGATTATAGTACTGAGCATGGTGAAATTAAAAGAGACTTTTTAGACACTTACCATGCGGCCGGCTTCGTTGTTGTGCAGGTTCATCTTCTCCCGGAGGCTGCGGCCCCGTTCACCAGTGTCCACGAACATCCTGGCGAACTTGTACCCGAAGTCTATGTTGTCCGAACAGCCACCCCACTCCCAGTCCTTGACGCCCGGCACAGAGTTCTGGATGTACGGGCCACGTCGCTGGTGCGTGGTGTCGCACGTGCACGTCTCGATCACGCCCTCCGCGCACGCCCTGGACACCGCGTGCGTCACGCCCGCGCTGGTGATCGCGTAGATGAACGCCGTCTCCCTGAAACCTGTGGAACACACAGCGTACGCCCACGCGACACATACGTTAATAATGTATAATCGACAAGTCGGCCGTTTCACATTTACGAAACGTTATTTTTAGATTRGGCGGGCGAAGGGTGTGAGGCGAGGAGGAAATATCAAAATCGAAAACGAAAAACACTTATAAACGACTGTAATAGGCATTAGGTATACATAATAATTATAATATTATAGTGTAAATGCATATATTATGATTATAATACCCACACAGTCACGCGCACAYATGAAGATTTTTTACGTGCTCGTGTGTTGTGCGCGGTCGTGTGTGTACGGTCCAATCAATCAACGCGTCGAATACACYAGAGTGGTAAATGCACTTTGTGTTTATACAATAATAATATAAGTATATGCGCACGTGCTCGTGTTTGAACATGAATTCCGATCGCATACCAATACAGTTAATTAAGATGCACGTCAACGGCGACGGCGACAGCGACGTAGACTTCGACGAAGAAGACGGTTTTTGTGCCAGATATTTCCGTCATCATATAGGTGTCGTATCTTCTCGACCGAAGAAACTCGTTTGCACTCTCGCACATTTATAAACGCGTATAATTACCCGAGTATTGTGTATTTATGTCAATCGGTTGTAATAACCGCACTTTTTATGTAAACGTTGAAAAAAATGTTTAGATCAACACTCATCAATATATTAATTGCGCAGAGTCAAAGAGGCATTTTACTATACTTTATTGTTATACATACACGACAAACTAAAGATATMTACTTCATAAATTATAATGCATCGGYCTTATATACGTGATACTTATCTTGAACATAAATCGATGAACAAATTTTATAAGAACATAGGTACACACTATAATGTTTATTATCTGTCAAATTAATAATATTAATTATTATGTTTTTTGTAAAGATACGATTATACCTAATTATATTTGACCTATTTTCCGCGGTATAAAAATTTAAGACTAATTTAACATAATCTAAATTTTGTTTAAAAATTAAAGAGGAAATAGGTATAAAAATGCATTCCCGCCATGACGAGTAAACTAAACGCGCGGTTTCTTGGTTTCTGGACACACGTCATAAAGTCAGGTTAATAATCTGCTGTATGCAGCRATAACGAAATCTGATTGATAACTAATGTCTAATAAAAATTATAACGTATGTTATCACATCAAAAGCAAATAAAAATCAAATGTTGTATTTCTGTTGCTATTCAAATATGTAGGTTGCTCAAAACAATAATATCAATGAATTACTTAATTTGAATTTATTCAAGTCATTTATAAAAATAAAAATAGATTTTCCAGAGACTTGCAGCCTAATATAAATTTGATAATATATTTTATTCTATAGTGTTAACTTTAAAAATCATTTATGCATATTTTGTGGAAACTCTATTGTTAAAAATTCAAATTTTTCATCGCCAATCTCAATGAACTATGATGCCCATTATATAAATTATAATTTTTATTAAATCTTATATGCAAGTATTAATGATATTTGCATAAAATAAAGATTATTAYTATTATTATTATTATTATTATTGAAATGATTTCATCTGTCATTAATCTCGACCAAAATAGTTCTTGAAATATGTATATAATAAATTTGTATTTTATGGAAAGTGATGGATACCAGTAGCTACTACGGTATCACTATAATATGTAGGTATAGTATATTACAATATAGTAACAGTCGAGCTACTATACATCGGTCGAGCATTGTTCGCATTTTGAAAACCGTATAAAAACCAAAGCGTACATAATAGTGATAATAATCGAACGTCAGCACGGCGTTGGCGATTATGCGTTAAACTATTATAATACCGTCGTCCGTACACCTTTACGACGGTCAAATCGTAAAATATATATAACGCCTGTCGCGGCTGTACTATATTATTTTATTTATATACGTGTGAGCATTGGACGACGACGACGATACGGATAATTATTGCTACACGAGCAGTGACTGCTGCCGTGCGTATAATTATATTACGGCAAGACCTGCGACGACGACCTCACGCCGTGGCGATAATAATGTATATGCGCGCGTACAGCGGCCGATCCCCTTTTCGAAAAACAGAAAAGAATAATAATGATAAAAAAAAAAAAATTTTTTTAAAGAAAAAAATACCTCCTCCGTCGACCTAAGCCCGTCGAATATAAATAACTCGCTCAACAACAATACCGCGACGATGACGACGATGATATAGTAATAATATCGTAACGGTGGCGATTTCACGAGATTGCTGAAGCGGCAGCGCGAGGCTGTACCATATTATAATATATGGGTATGCGCGCACCGTGGGAGCGTGTTCGGACGTGTGGTACATTTACACGCCACCGCCCCCGCCCTCGCTGGATTCCGCCACCGGTGCGGCGACGCGAATCGGGTGGAAAGAAAAAACCTCCCTCGCCACTACACACACACATATATATATATATATATACGGTTGAGAGCATTGTGAGCATACTTATTATTATTATTATTATTATTATTATATTATACACATGTATATACCATACCTATATATAATCGTGCAGGTTTATAATATGCACTGCACGGGGTTAACAATATCATATTATTATTGTATAATATATAATATATGTATAGGTATGTGCGCGCGTATTACACTRCACGTGCAGAGTGCCTACCCATGATGCCCGTAATGCCATATCGTCGTCGCGCGTGAAAAACGGGAACGGAAATTATGTACGGGACATAAATCTGCAGACCGGTCGAATGGGAGACGCGTCGACGACTCGCCCCCCGGACGGGCGTATCTCCGCGTATATCGATATGCTGTGCGATAAATTTTTATTATTATTATTATTATTGCATACGGACGGTGTGAGAGTGTGTGCGAGTATATATATATATATATATACGAACGTAATTTAAAAGGTGGGAAAGGTGTGCAATAATAATGCGACGTACTACGTCCACCGCGCTGTCCTACACCGCTGCAGCACTAAAGGCCATTATTAATGCATATTGTTATATTGACACCTCCGCCGCAGAGTGGCTGCTACTCGTATTATATTTCTCTCTTTTTTTTTTTTGTTGTCCGCCACCTATCCGCCCGTGCGTGTCAAAGTTTACGCGCCATAATCGTCGTCGCCGATCAGCGGGTGGCCCAGACCCAAATACCTTCCTCCCTGCAACTCCTGTCCCCTCCCGCCCACATAATAGTATACGAAAGCGTTATAGTACATTATGCGATATTGTGTTGTATTATTATGCAGTCCGGCAACGACGAAGGAGGCATTTAATTTTATGATTTCATATTTATCATCGTGTCACTCGGCGGTGGAGGTTTTCGTTGTTCTTTCCCAAGTGATCTGCTCCGGCAGCCGTCACAAACCGTGTGTAGCATTCAAATAATTAACATTATTTTTATTACGGGTAAACGCCAAAAATCATAAAAAGAAAAAAAAATGCCATCCAAATATTATTACCTACTATTATATTGGTAATAATACGCGAAATCCGTAATTTTGAGGCGACCAAACCGGATTTCACGACCCATATGCACGTCGGCCGTCTCGTCCGCGCCAAGGCAACGGAAGTAACAGCGGCGGAGCGGGAAATCCGATACACCCGTCGCGCGAGTTTTCCAAAAGTATTGCCACGTTTCCGTTATGCGCGCACTCGGCACCTTCCGCCGTCCACACACGCCGCCGCCCACTGCAACGCCCGCGTAAAGGTCAATCCCAGCACACACACACACACACACACACACACTAACGCGCGTGGTGTAAACRTTCTTCGAAAAACGGGTGCTCCGATGTTCCTGGTATATGCCTGTACCTCTTCTATAATGGTAGAGCGCAGACGACGGACATTAAAATATTGTAATAATAAAAACGATATTACGCGTTTGTTGTATTATACCACCGCCGCCGTCAGGTATACCTATATTATTAAAGTGACCGACGAAAAAACACACACACACACGCACATTCACTCGCATACACCTACACGTCCTACACACACACAAACACGTTTTTCTAAACGAAATAATTTGACTGGTTTACAGTGAGCGTGCAACCCGTCAAATAAAAGACACGTATGTATACCTTAAATCGTGTAATAAATAATATGCTTGGCGGACGGGGCGTTGGGGGGGGGAGATCCGTTCGGGCACGCCGCGGGAAACCCTATGATGATGTTATTAGTCGACTAATAATCCGGCGGCGGCGGCCGGGAGGTCTAATGTCAACACGTTCTTCTCTTTTCTTCCTGTCGTCGTCGCGGCTCGTACACACGACATACACGATTTATCCCCGATCCCCCTACCCCTCCAGCATCGACGTTCTTCCAACTGCGATCAACAACACAGCATTCGTACGCGGCTACTATTGTTTTTTTTTYTGCCATACATTATTATTATCATGCGCATGATGATGTTATGTGCATGATAATATGTATTATATATTATACCTGCTCTTGCGATTATTATTGTTATTATTATTACATGGTATGACAGCATACTAGGCAGATATGTATTTT